TTCCCGGAGGCACTGAAGCAAGTGTCTCCTGAGAAGGGGTTGCTGTTTCTAGAGTACCCACAGCATACACAGTGCCCTGCTACCCAATAATGTGGTAGAAATTGTTCATTGGAAAGTTGTCTTAGGACAACTGGAAACAGATGTGAGCAAGGGGAAAGGGCATCATGGAGATTCCTGTTAGAGCTTCCAGGCCACCAGGAAGCTTTGTGCAAAGCATATTGTTCACGTTTATGAGAAGTATTTGTAGAGGGTTGTTTATACTTTCCCTCCATGGGCCTGTTTTACATGCTGAGAATTTCATAAGAATCTATGAGTATTTTAAACTACTTTTAATGTACTGGGTTGGTACGATCATATATGTAGACAATTCAGTGAATATCTGTAGTTCGGCAAAGTTCCACTCACCACCAGTATGGAGTAGTCTGTCGTATTCCTGGATATGGGCCACTAACAGAAATTAAGGTCTATAGAAAGATCTCTTTAATAATGAAATGAAAAATGGAAGGGCTTAAGAATAAAAAAGATATAAAAGATCTTCATGGATAAAATTTTAGACCACATCAGAAATTAGAAGCCTCAATATTGTAAAGAGAGTCATTTAATTTACATTTATGAATTCAATCTAATCCCAACCAAAATATTTTTGGATCATTTGAAAAACTAAAGACATAATGCCCCATTACCTCTAACCACTTGAGTGTGTACTTAAACAGTGACACTCCTTTACAACCATAGTCTACACATCAAACTCTGGACATTAACATGATGACATCTAATCCACCGATTGATTTCACATTTTGCTAGTTGCCCCAATAATGCTGCTGTCTTCAAGCATCCCAATCCAGGATCACATGGTGCATTGAGTTGTCTATCTCTTTGGTCTCCTTCCATCTGGAACAGTTTTGGGGTCTTTCATTCATGACCTTGACACTTGAGGAGCATAGGCCAATTTGTATAGTGTTGCTTGCTCAGTTTAGGTTTCTGTAATATTTCTCATGATTAGAGTCGGGATACACATTTTTGTCAGAAATATCAGAAATGATGTTTTATTCTTTTCATTGTATCATACTAGAAGATGTATAATGTTTATCTGTCCCATTTCTGATGATGTGGTCTTTGGCCACTAGGTTAGGTTAGTATCTATAAAGTTTTTCCATTGTAAGTTAGTAATTGAGGAGATTCCTAGAGACCATGAAATGTCCTATTTCCTACTGAACTGTTGTTGATAGCTGGTTTGATTCTGTTGACAATTCTTGCCTGAATCAGTTACTATTTTGATTCCAGGTGGTGAGTCCACCACTTCTGCTTTGATATCCTACCGTAAAGAAGGTTTACAATGTATGCTTATATGAGAGTGCACAACAATGTGTTTGTGTCTACATGTGTATAGGTACAAGTTTGTCTGCCAATAGGCTTAAAACCAGTAACTTCCTAATTAGCATCTTGGATTTCATATACCATTCCCCACTTAAAGGAAACAGTGTTCCTTTGAAACTGTCTAATCTAGATCTGGGATAGGGAAAAGTACAAGATGATCTTGTAACACTTTGATGTACCAAAAATAAACAAGAACCCAAAGAGAAATGTAGACATGTGGAAGGAACTTAGAAGACAGAGTAAAGAGATTCTCACTGGCAAATTTTCAGCATGAACATAAATGATGTAATATATTATGAGCTACTTAAGTAAAAGGAGAACCCAGGAGCCAAAACTGATATAAATGAATAAACACATAGAGAAGGGAAGGTTCTTCTTTACGTTTTATTGACCTTTTTTACAAGTGGAATCACCAAATCTTTGTTACTTTGTACAAGGCTGGAAAAAGAAACTTGGAACTCTTAATGTTAAAGCTCACCTAACTACAGGAACATCTGATGAAACAGATTTCAAGTGAAAAAGCAGTACCAGAGAGAAAGAGGAATATTTCACAATGATAAGGAAGCCCATTCTCTAGGAAGAATTTCACAGTTCTAAACACTGTTTCAAAATACGTAAGGCAAGAAGAAGAGACAACTAAAATGAAAATATGGACAAATCCACAGTCATGGGGGTTGCTGAGTCTACTTTTAAACAGAAAGTTTGTAAAAACAGTATGAAGAGTACGATTAACAAACTTGACCTAATTGAGATACAGAGAACACTTTAAGCAAGGACACAATTTCTATTTCACTTAAATCCATATGGAAAAATCTACCAAAACAGACAATAAATAGGCTATGAAAAAGCCTCAAAATATTTCAGAGAATTTAAATAATTCAAAATACACCCTATAACCTCAGGAGAAATATGCCAGAAGTTAATAAAAAAAGGTGACTAGAAACTCCTCAAATTTGTCTCAATGCCTAGAAATTAAACAGAACATATTTCTAAATAACCCAAGGATCAAAGAAGAAATAAACATTAGAAAATATTTTGAACTGATAATGAAGAGGTGCCAAATCAAAAAGTATGAGCTGCAGTTAAACCAACATTTAGAGGGAAATTAATAGCCTCACCTACACTTCCTAGAAAAATTACAAATTGGGGCTGGGGCTGGGGCTGGGGCTCAGCATTAATGCATTTGCCTGGCATGTGTGAGGCACTGGGTTCGATTCTCAGCACCACATAAAAATAAATAAAGATATATTGTGTCCATACACAACTAAAAAAAAAATTCAAGGAGAAAATGTAGATGGACAAGCAAGAGCAGCAATCATTGCAAGACAAAGTTAAAAGAAAAACAAAAGCTGATTCTTTGAAGAGATTAATAAAATTGACAAACCACTAGTAAGACTAATCAATAAAAGAGGGAAAATAATCTCAGGAATGAAAACATATTGCTAGAAAACCCACAAACATTAAAAATATATGAAGAACTTAATATCAAGTTGAATCAGAATGAAGTTAAAGACAAAAAGTTAAACTATAGCAAGCCCAGAGTTCCCACAGATTGGTAGAATTCTATCAATTAGTTAATTATGCATTTTTTCGTTTTTCAGCATTTTAATAAAATGATTAGTAAACAAAGCCCCAAGTTTTTTTTTAAAGGCTTGTTTGAATCAAAACCTCAAAATAAAAGGAAAATCCATTATTTAAAAAACTGACAATTATTCTGAAACAATCATTATTTTCAAGGGTCATCAAAATATATAACAACAGTGTTTGTTTAGAGCCTCAATATTAATTCACATAAAACTTTTAAGTTGTTACAAAGTGTGACTACGTTTTTTGAAGTACAGCTTTCCTTAATTCACTTTAGCAATTCCATAGTCATAGAAGCAATATGAAAATAAATACTTAACAAGCTTGGGAGTGTTTCAACACATTTTTAAAGCTCTTAAAACTTTATCAGTAAAAAAAATAAATGATCAGTTCAGATAAAAGATAATGGGAATAATCAATAACAAGATCAAATACAGTGTGAAAAATACTCTTTCCCATACAGTTTCCCCTTTCAAAAGATGCCAAGGTAGGCAATAAAGACAACGAAACATGATCACAGTAAATATTAAGTCTTGCTTAATGCAAGTGA